TATAAAAATAAGCAAGGGCCCTGCCAGGGTGGATATCAGGGTTGTAAACCATGGGGATTTAGTAAACTAGGATTCAAATAGCCCTTGGCAGGCCTCTCGCTCTCTCTTCCTTTGATCTGGTCTCTCTCTAAGTTTAGACATTGAATCTCTTACTATTCCGGAATGGTCTGCTGTTAAGGTTTAGCTAAGTTTTATTAGTTCTTTTTCCTGACTCTTAATGCTCTCTGCACTCCTTTACACACAAGCATTGTCCCTCAGATGTTGTTTAACCTGGGAAGCGCTAAGAAGACGATCAGCTATGTGGAGTGTACAATTCAGCTTTATTTCTTCCACATAATGGGGGGCACAGAATGTCTGCTTTTGGCTGTTATGTCTTTGGATCGCTATGTGGCCATCTGCAAGCCTCTACACTACACCCTCATCATGAGTCGGCGGATCTGTATCCTATTGGTATCCACTGTGTGGCTCACTGGAGTGACCTACGCTGTGTCAGAGGCCACTGTTATATTACAGTTACCGCTATGCGGTCTCAATAAGCTGGATCACTTGGTGTGTGAGATTCCAGTTCTGATAAAGACTGCCTGTGGTGAAAAGGGTGCTAACGAGCTCACACTCTCTGTGGTGTGTACTTTTATGTTAGCTGTTCCTCTATGCTTAATTCTTGCTTCCTATGCTTGTATTGGACATGCTGTATTTAAAATTAAATCACCTGAGGGAAGGGAAAAGGCCTTTGGGACATGTTCCTCCCATCTCATTGTAGTTTTCCTATTTTATGGTCCAGGCATTAGCATGTACCTTCAGCCCCCCTCTTCCATCTCGAGAGACCAACCCAAGTTCATGACTCTCTTCTATGGAGTGGTGACTCCTGCACTCAACCCTTTCATCTACACCCTGAGGAACAAGGATGTAAAGGGAGCATTAGGCAACCTGGTGAGGAGCATTTTCACTTCCAAGTGATAGTTGGTAATCTTCTAATGGAATTATTTAACAACTAGAGTAGATTCATAGGGGTTTCTCTGATAACTCGTTTTTGTCTCGTATTTCCTCAAATCTCATGTTAGATATTCTTGCAAAACATGCCATGTTTCTGATGTTCTATATAATGATGTTAGGCAAGGATGATACTTGGCTAACAATGTTTGTGGAAATGTATTAAAAATAGTTCACACTTGGTACATAGTAAAATAACAACTGCATTAATTTAAAAATATAATAATATAAATTATAATAACTCATTCGTTCAAGCTAATTATCATAAATAGCATGGCAACCATTCATCTGTGGACTTTCTATCACAGTGTCACCTGAGAAACTCATCAGTCCCTGCCAGATTGGCCCATGTCTAAGTGGCAGCAAGACTGCACTGCACATCAGTGTGAGGTATTCTACAGTTCAGAACAACCATGACTCTTAAAAGTTTATCGACTTCAGTTAACGTAGATGCTATTGCTTCTTAAACATTTCTACTTTTGTTTAACAATAAGCGTGCAGTGTTTACATAATTTTAATCAAAGAATTTATTATTAAAGTGAATGAAAAAAGGAACAAAACATATTTCTTAATGCTCCTTTCAACTATCATAACCATCAGTCTTCTGACAAAGAGAAAAAGGAAGTGAGATTAATAACGAACTAATACCTGAAAGAATCTGTAAGTAGAACAGCCAAGAATGGCTTTTGAAACTGTGCAAGAATCAGCATAAAAAAGAAATAATTTGTATCTTTGGAGTGGGAAGCAACTTGACTACTTCAACAACCACTATGACTACCTTTTTATTGCTGTAAATTTTGGACATAAATGATGCTCAAGGATATATACCACTAAAAGTGGAAAGTGTGAAGCTTAGTTCTGTGATTTACACCCACCTTCAAAACTGTCATAGAATATGAACAATTTTTTAGAGCAAATTAATGGATTTTATAGTTACTTGGCATAAACTAATATAGAGAAAATTCAGCATGATATTATGTAGTGAAAATGTACATTTGAAAGAAAAACGACAGGTCATTTGAGCTTTTCTGGCATATCTTCTGTTCTGATCAAGATATAAACAAATTTTTGAGCGCTAAATCATATTATTCTGAACAAAAATCAACTGCAACCCAGATCCATTTTTTGACTAAAAACAGATCATCTAGTAGTGCTTGGCACAGTTCTTGACACAAATGGACTTTGATACATTTAATTTGGAAACAAATCTAAGTAACTGAAATTTGGCTGATTGCTGACTGAGCAAAAAAAAAATTTTTTTTAATTTTGCACACACAAACACACAACCATGAAAATAAAAATTTTGTGGTGTTAACTTCTCTTATCATTTTAGTAGTTAAGACATCCTTTGCCTAACTGTCTTATGTAAAGTATTTCTTACAGAGAAATATAATAATTGTTAGTTTTGAGGGTAAATTCAGCAAAATTGGTGTCAAAAGCTGAGCTAAGGGAATACCTAGATGATTTTCTTAATCATGTGCTAACTTCTAGGTCTCTAAAGCTAATTTGTTTTAGAGTTGTGTCTTCCAGTGTCTATGAAATATCAATACTTTCTAAAGGAAATTGATAAAAATTTCAGCATAAAGAATACTGGATAAATTCAGGATAAAGTAGTGGCAGCAAAAAGCCATAGAAATGTTTTATTTGCATTAGACTACTTCACAGCTCAAGGTCATGTATCTTTACTCTGTTCCAGCATGAAAAATACTTTAGTTAACCACTGAGAAGCTCTGCTGAAGGGAAACACATATATATTTGAAGTTAGAGTGTGCTCTGTCTTGATGTAAAACATGAACAATTTTAAGACTTCTTTTCCCGGAAAGTGATCAAACATTTTCCTTATTTTCCCAGGCAAGCAGGCTTTTCCTGAAGAACAAATATAAGACAACAAAGTGTTTTAGCCACTAGTTCTAAAAACCCTAAAACATGGAGACATACATTTAGGAGAGCTTTATGGGAGAAACCAAGAAGATACAAAAATGATTTTCTCAAAACTAGATCTGCATACATAATAATATTAAGGCAAAAAGTTCATCAAGCTCTAAGGGAGATGATTAAAATAACTGCAAATGAGGATCTGGTTAAAAAAATATTGCATGATCAATATCCAATATCTATCCAATATCTATTCAAACTGTGATTCTCAGAATTCCAATGACTAGGAGGATTCCCAGAGGCCACTGGGATGTGAGTGGGGTGGAGAAGGCTGAGATATAGTAGAGGGGAAAGTACATCAGATCTTGTTTGAAGAATGGACAGTAGATAGAAGAACAGAAATTATTATGCAACTCTGATAAAATAGGTAATCATTATACTACCTTTTCACACTGTTTTCCAAAACTCAAGTTATTTTAACCATATGCTCAAAATTTTACCTGAGCAAAATACATATGTAATACACATAAACACAAAATGAAACTTAAATGTGTAGTGAGATTTCAATTTATCACTCAAGAATTTGTTTTCCTTAAAACTAAAGTCTGAACATGATTATGTTTGTTAAGATTGGCATAACAGAAAAAATTTTTTTACCTATTCTGGGTGTGTCAGTTTTTAACTATTGATTGGTAACTATTGATCCTAAAGTATTGACACAGAACATAATTATTTAACACAAGAGAGTTAGGAAGCTGATCTATATAACTGCCAAGTTTTCACTCTGTTACACAGAAAGAAATTAAATCCACAGCAGTGAGTCTCTAAACCTAATTGACATTATTCTTCCTTTTCAACCCCCCATTGCACACCTCCCTAAATCTACCAACACCTCTCAAGCCAACCACAATATTTAGTGTAAAACTTCCATTTACTAAACTCTTTGGCATTTTCTCCTTTCTGTGTATTTCTTTATTTTTTCATTTAATAATATCTTCTCCAATTTCCACTCAGTAAGGACTTTCTTAAAATAAGGTATATTACAGAGCACAAAAGTGATAAAATGCACCTTCAAGAATATTATTTGTTCTCTTAACCAGTTTTTAAGTGCACATCACTCATGCTAATGTTCTTGCCGCAAAAAAAAATTAAAATATTTTGAAAAGTACAGAAATCTTTTGAGAATGATGGGTATGTTTATTATCTTGCCTGGAGTGATAATATCATGGGTATATGCAAATGTACAAACTCATCAAAATGTACACATCAAAAAAGTGCAACTGTAATATATATATAATTAGAGCTGAAAAAAATAAGATCCTAAAACTAAATAGGAAACTAAATAAATACAGTAAAAGGAATAAAGATGTTTTCTACAAATGGAATAAAAATTGATTTATTTAGTAGTTTATAGAAATATATCACTGCCTGGGGGAACATTATAATCAAGGATATGGTCGAGAAGGAGAACTCAAAAACTACTGTAAGTTACCATGAGTTAGTTGATGGGTTAGACATTTTGTACTTGAAATTTTATTTAATCTTCAATAACTTCACGTAGATATTCTCCACCATCAATAGATAATGAACTTGTATTTGCTAGTTCTTGAACATCAATAGTTAGTACCAGAACTGGAATTTGAAAGCCTTTCAATTACCAAAAATTCATGCTTTTCCAACTTTATAGCAAGCTATTTGCAAAGATGATGGACACTTCAGATTATGCATGATGTGATAATGATGACTAATTCAGTATATTTCAAGCTGAAGATTTCATGGGGCAATGTGTAAGACTGCAAGGGAGATGATAGGTAGGTAGGTAGTAGATTAGATAGATGGATAGATAGATAGATAGATAGATAGATAGATAGATAGATAGATAGATAGATAGATAGATAGATAGATAGATAGATAGATAGATAGATATCGATAGATAGATAGATATTGAGCCAGGACCAAGACTCAGAGCTGCATATGATGTTAAAGAATATACATTTCTTTAGGTAAAAAGACATTAATGACATAAGATATTAACAATAAGACTGCACTTAGCAATGTGAAAAATAGTTTGGAATAGGAAAGTACTAGAAACTTGACGACTTGTTTATTGCAGCAAACTATGGGACAGATAATTATGTTCTCAACTAAGATAGGAGTAGTAAAAATATAAAAGATGAGAAAGGTGTGAAACACTGAAGTAAGTAGTTGACTTGGAAATTTATTAAATGTGTGTCTTCTGGGATGAGCCAAAGATAATGGTGATGTTTTAAGTCTAGAGAAATGAGCAGGAAGTTTTTATTTTATCAACGACGCTGATACCAAGAAAAGTAGCTCTGGAAAAACAGTTCAAAAGTACTTTAGCAAAACTACAATCAAATTACAAGAAAGATGTAAATAAACTTTTTAAAAGTTATCCTAAGAAGAAATGAAATTCAATTGCAAAAATACAGTATAAAAAGTTTTTTTTAAAAAAGGACTTAACTAAAAGGATAAATGTTTTTTAATTTTTGTAGTATTTCTTTTTTGTGGGGACACTAAAGAGATCCAACAAGTTAACATTACATATGATATCTTAGGATATAAGACTTAAGCATACAATATATTAGAATAGTATATGATAAACATTTTAACAAAAATTAATACCGGGAAATTAGAGATTGGACAACGGTCATTTCTGCAGACTCTTCTAACTCTTAAAATTTGCAGTTCTCTTTGCTGAGGAGAGCTCACCAAAGTTAAATCATAGCACTTATAAAAAAAACAATTCTAAATCTCAATTTAAGGCTTTGTATGTATATATTAATGTGGTATCTTTATTAGAGATATTGAGGAAGAGTGAAGGGCCAACTGGACAGTGAGGAGAAGTAGTGTTCAAATGCTTTGGCATGGAAACTACTTTAAAATGTGCTTTTGAAATTAGTTGCTTTTGATCCAGTATCTTCCTATTGACCAAACAGTAGCGTTAACCACAGCATGGATACCTCATCATCTTCTCTTCTGTGATTCATTAACTAAGATTGCAAATTCTTTTTTTTATTAAGGCATCATTGATATACACTCTTATGAAGGTTTCACATGAAAAACTGTGGTTA